AGGTAGGGCGAGGAATTTGAAAGCGAAGCCACATTCCTCGCCAACTTACCTCAGCTTCAGAATCCTCTCGAACGCCAGAAATTCGCTGTCCAATTCCTCGCCGACTCCCATCAGCTTCAGAATCCTCCCTAACTGCAGGAATTCGTTTTCAAATTCACCGCCAACCCCCCCAGCTTCAGAGCCCTCTCAATCTCAGGAATTCGCTGTCAAATTTCTCGCCAACTCCCCCCACCCAAGATTCAGATGCCTCCATAGCTCTCGGAATTCGCTGTCAAATTCCTCGCCGACTCTCCTCTGCTTCATAATCCTCGCCCACTCCAGGAATTCGCTGTCACGTTCCTCGCCAACCCCCCTCAGCTTCAGAATCCTCTATAACTCCAGGAAATCGTTTTTTTGTTTCAAATTCCTCGCCAACTCACCTCAGCTTCAGAATCATCTCTGACTCTAGGAATTCGCTGTCCAATTCCTCGCCGACTCCCATCAGCTTCAGAATCCGCTCTAACTTCAGGACATCGCTTTCAACTTCCTCGCCAGCTCCCCTCAGCTCCAGAAACCTTTCTAACTCCACGGACACGCTTTCAAATCCCCCCAACTTCCAGCAGCTTCGGAATCCGCTCTAACTCCAGGAATTCGCTTTCAACTTCCTCGCTAACCCCGCTCAGCTCCAGAATCCGCTCTCATTCCAGGAATTCGCTTTCAATTTCCTCGCCAACTCCCCTCAGCTTCGGAATCCTCTCTGACTCTAGGAATTCGCAGTCACGTTCCTCTCCAACTTCCCTCATATTCAGAATCCTCTCTAACTCCAGGAATTCCGCTCCATTTTCCTTCAGATGCGGAATCTTCTCTAATGCCAGGAATTCTCATTTCAATTCTTTCCCAACTCCCTGAGATTCTGTTTATCCTCTGACTCTAGGGATTCGCATTCATATGTCTTTCCCACTCCCGTTACATTCAATGTGTTTTCTTCCTGTCCAGATCCGTTATCAAATTCATACCTCTTTAAATTCTCATGGGGGTTTCGACGAACACTTGATTTGAGTACATTGGCCCTCAAACGCGCGACGTCATGCGCGCATCGTGCTTCGCGGGCCCCTCGCCTTGTCCCAGGGGGTTCGGCGCAAAAGCGCGAAGTGATTCGCGCTTCGCGCAGCGCGAAGCGCGAAATTGGGAGCATTTAGTGGTGATGATAATGATGATGATGATGCTGATGATGATGATGCTGATGATGATGATGCTGATGATGCTGATGATGATGGTGATGATGCTGATGCTGATGCTGATGCTGATGATGATGCTGATGATGATGATGATGATGATGATCATGCTGATTCTGATGTTGATGCTGGTGACGATGATGCTGATGCTGATGCTGATGCTGCTGCTGATGATGATGATGCTGATGATGATGATGCTGATGCTGCTGCTGATTATGATGATGCGGATGCTGATGATGATGCTGATGCTGATGCTGATGACGATGATGCTGATGCTGATGCTGATGCTGAGGCTGCTGATGATGATGATGATGATGATGGTGATGATGCTGATGCTGCTGCTGATGATGATGCTGCTGATGATGATGCTGATGCTGATGCTGATGCTGATGACGGAGATGCTGATGCTGATGCTGCTGATGATGATGATGATGATGATGATGCTGCGGATGATGATGTTGTTGATGCTGATACTGATGAATCATCGTTGTGTGAAGCATGGGATCGAGAGCTCTTGTCGCGTGCAGGCCTCTGATGGGTGCGTGCACGGCCGGTGGAGGTACAATTGCCGCCAGTCTGCGATCCTCCTCCTCGTCCTTGTCCTCCTCCTCCTCCTCCTCCCCCTCCTCCTCCTCCTCCTCCTTCCCCTCCTCCTCCTCCTCCCCCTCCTCCTCCTCGTCCCCATCCTCCTCCCCATCCTCCTCCCCCTCCTCCTCCGCCTCTTCCTCCTCCTCGTCCTCCTCCTCCCCCTCCTCCTCCTTCTCCTCGCTCCCCTCTCCCTGCCACGGCTACGAGCAAGCCACCTCTCGGTGTAGGCGCTCTTCGCGCGGTGCCAGTGCTTGTCTCCACCTCGTCTTGCTCCACGTCCGTCATCTCCACCGCCTGTACTTGTAGCTTCCCGCCAACTCACCAGCCTCCGACCCACCCACCACAGACCAGCCCTCAGACCATCCCGCACCCACCAATCACCACACCGCACCCACCATCACCACCCACCACCACCCACCCACCCGCCCTCCCTCAAATCAGTCATCTCTCCTCTCTGCCTCGGCTCCTCGGTAATCCTCCCATGCCCCTGTTGTCTGTGCATCCTCTTCGTCCTCCTTGTGCCCTTCCCCTCGCCTCACGCAGTGACGCAGCGTCCTGGTATGCCCACAGGCCTAACGAGCAGTAGTCTAAAGGAGCTTCTCGTGTCACGTAGCCTGTTCTTATTTCATATGACCCGGACAGTCTCGCTTGATTGCATAGGTCTGATGTTCCATGATCGCTTGTCCTGTTGTTTGGACATGCTTTGTTCTAAGAGCATGCTGGTAAGCCTTCAGAGATGCCGGGTCGTCCGGTCCCTGTCCAATCCCCCTTGTGTGGCAGGTAGGGGTATAATTTGTCCAGCCGCCCTTGGACAAGTGTCCCCGATCGCGGGACAAATATATGTTATACCGTTCTCCGTTGGCTAATATTTACCCCCTCGTGTCCCTTTCGTCCACTCGGATCAGACGTTGCGACAACATGCAACCTCGCAGAAATTCACGAGCAGAGCCCACAACCCAATCGATCTGCGCCATTTTTCCAGACGGATCGATCCGTGAGTGTCCCAGGGCCCGAAATCGGGCGCAGGCAAGTTTGCTTGCATGGAGAGGGCAAATTTGCTTGTATGAAGGGGGGGGCGCGGCGAGGCCCGAAAGGGAAGCTGGACTTCGTGCAAGTCGGGGCTCGCTTGCACGCTCGGCCCAGCGCTGTTTGGAAAGGCGACGGAAGGGGGGGGGAGGGGGGGGAGCATGTCATGAAAGTAAGCCTGCCTAAGCCTGAAGACAACGCCCTCCAACGCCAGGATCTCAGGGCTCCCCCCCTTCCCTTGTTGTATGGAAGAATTCGGGGGAGGGTTGTCCAGGGGGGGTTGCCCGGGGGCGGTTGTCCGGATCCCTGCGGGGTCGTCTAAGGAGTTGTCGCTTGTCTGCGCAACGCACATGTCAGTTTGCCGACGTTTTGAAAGCGCGAAGTGCGGCGCAGACGGCGCGTGTCTTCTCTCATTCCCTCCAGTCCGTTCCTCCTCCGTCGTCTTATGTTGTTCCAACCTACTATAGACTTGACCACCAGAAAGAATTTCGAGCGCCAGGCAAGCACCCCCAAAACGCGAGGGTTTTCGCGTGCCGGGCCCTGGGAGAGACCGTCTCGACACTGCTCCGACGCTCTCTCGACATCTTCTGGGTGCTCGAACTTTTTCTTGGATCTGGTCCTTGAGCCCTCCTCTCAGCCACGCGCAGAGAGGGGTGGGGGGAGGGGGGAGGGCTTCTTAGGAAGCACCCTTGCTTCTTAGAAGGCGCCTCATCTACAGATGTGAGGCCAGCGCCTTCTAAGAAGCAGCCTCCTTCTAAGATCGGGGGAGCGTAAGACCCGGGTTTGCCAGGACTCGGGTTCGCTATCGTTTTTTGACGACCGCGACTCGGATTTTGACGAGGAGGAGTTTTGTGGGATGTCTGCAGCGGGAGGCCTCGTCAAAATGCAGGCTCGGCCTCGTCATTTTTTTGACGACCTCGTCGGGGATTTCCGAGTCCCCCGTACCCGGGTCTTACGTCTCCCCGATAAGAAGCCTTCCCCCCTCCCTCCACCCCCCTCTGCGCACCATCAGAGCCCCGAATCATCAGGAGTAACTCGGGTCAGGGCTAACTCGGGTTGGTTTTTCGGGATTCCGAACCCGACTTACCCCGGACCCGACTTACCCCGGATAATTCGGGCGTCCAGAGCCCCGAATCATCAGGGGTAACTCGGGTCAGGGCTAACTCGGGTTCCTTTTTCGGGAATCCGAACCCGAGTTACCCCGGACCCGAGTTACCCCGGATATCTCGGGCGTCCAACACCACCAATCCTCGCCTCCTCTCCGGAGAGGCCAGCGGGCCCGCCTGCCATGCTGCCCGCGCCGGCGGCCCCGGCGGCAGCGGACGCGGCCTTGGCGGCCCGGGAGGCGCGCCCACGGCGTGCCGGCCGTGCCCTCGCGCGCGCGCGCGCCGGGCCGGGCGGAGGCTCGGGTCTCGGCCTCGGGAGGCGAGGAGGAGGAGGAGGAGGAGCGAGGAGGAGGAGGAGGAGGAGGAGGAGGAGGAGGAGGAGGAGGGGGGAGGAGGGGGGAGGGGGAGGAGGGGGAGGAGGAGGAGAGGAGGAGGGGGAGGAGGAGGACGGAGGAGGAAGAGGTGGAGGAGGAGGAGGAGGAGGAGGAGGAGGATGGAGGAGGAGGAGGTAGGAGGGATGATGATGCTGATGATGCTGATGATGATGATGATGATGATGATGATGATGATGATGCTGATCATGATGATGATGCTGTTGATGTTGATGATGCTGATGATGCTGATGATGATGATGATGCTGATGATGATGATGCTGCTGATGATGATGATGCTGATCATGATGATGATGCTGTTGATGATGATGATGATGATGGTGATGATGATGATGATGATGATGATGATGATGCTGATGTTGCTGCTGATGATGATGATGATGATGATGATGCTGATGCTGATGCTGATGCTGATGCTGATGCTGATGCTGATGCTGATGCTGATACTGATGATGGGAGGATGAGGAGGAGGAGTAGGAGGAGGAGGGGTGGAGGAGGAAAGGGAGCAGGAGTGAGGCAGATGAGGAGGAGGATGAGGAGGAGGAGGAAGAGGAGTTTGGAAGATAATTGGTATGTCGCGGGGGGGGTCCTTTCGTCTTGTCTTGAATGTATATAATGGCCTTTGGCTGTTGTGCATGGGTTGTAGGTCATAGGCCTTCAGGGTGTTCGTTGGGATGTCGCGCGGCGGCCTCTTGGGGGCCGTTTGGAGGCCTCTCGGGAGTCGTTCTGGTGCCTCTGGGGGCGTCTTGGGAGCCTCTTGCGGGTCTCTTGCCTCCTTCAGGTCTCGTTGCGCCTCCTTGGTGCCTGCTAGGGGCCTCTTGGGGCGGAAGACTCGGATTTTCCGTTCGTGTTCCCCATCTTGGACTTTTCTGGGGGGGGGGGGTCGTTGTGCCATCATCTCGGGCCGTTTTGGGCGCCCCTGGGGCCGTCTTGGAACCCTCTTCGGCCCTTTGGGGATTCTTCGGGAGCCTGTTGGGCCGTCTTGGGGCGGTCATAGTGGCTTCTTGGGCCGTCTTGGAGCGTCGGAAGCTCGAAAAGACTAGGAGCCCAAACATACATTGAACAACCTATGGTAAATCAATGACTTTGGCTTCTCGAGGCTCTCTCGGGACGGCTCAGGGGGTTCTCTTGGGCGCCTCGGGAACTTCTTGGGCCGTCTTGGGGCTATCTTGGGCGTTTTGGACCAATCGTGCAGCGATTCGGGGCCCTTTTGGCCCGCCTGGGGGCCCTCTTGGGGCAGAACAAGTCACGCGAGAAGATGCCCCCGTTTTCTCGATCAATTGCGTTCGCCGTCCTCGTCGACGTCCTCTCGCTCGGTTTTCCCGTCCTCGTCTCACCGAGCGCGTTTCACTACCTGGAAAGTGCTTGCTCGCAAACGCTCGGAAAACAACGCACGTCTCCCTCGATACAATGGATCGTGGATTCCCCGCGGCGGATCCAGGCCATTTGCGAGTAGTTGTCATCGCTCAATCTCGCCGTCCTCGTCGGCATCCTCTCCGCTCGCTTTCGCCGTCCTCACCGCTCGCCTTATGATGTTTCAAATTTCTTTAACCTTGACCTCCAAAAATAGTGTCGAGCACTAAGGAAATACCGAAATTTGAGGGTTCTCACGTGTCGGGCCCTGGGAAGCGACACGCGTTCGGCACTTTGCTGGCATGTCGGGCAGATACCGTTTCGATATTTTTCTGGATGTTCGAAATTACTTCTGGGATGTAGTTTGTAAGTACGGTGGGAGCAGCCTAAAGCTCGCCCTCGATCGTTGCCGTCGGCATCCCCTCGCTCGCCGTCCTCCTCGAGGTCCTCTCGCTCGCCGTCCTCACGGACGCTACCCCCGCCAGCCCATCCGCGCTCGCTCGTCGCCGTTCTCGTCGACGCCCTCTCGCTCGCCCCCGCCCTCTCGCTCGCCCTCGCTCTCGCCGCTCGCGCCGCTCGCCCTCGCATCGATCGCCCGCGGCGCCCCCCCCCGCCCGCGCGGGGCGCCGCCGCGCCCCCTCCCGGGCCCGCCGCCGCTCCCGCGCAGGGCCCCGGGCACCTGGGCACGGAGGCCATCCTCGCGAGGGCCGCCGAGGACCGCTGTGACGACGGCGACGACGACGACGACGACGAAAGCGACGACGACGACGACGACGAAAGCGACGAAGACGACGACGACGACGAAGACGACGGCGACGACGAAGACGGCGGCGGCGGCGGCGGTGGGGCGACGACGCCGACGACGACGTCGACACCGACTACGACGAAGACGACGACGACGACGACGCCGGGGGTGCTCGCACGGGCCCCGCAGGGAAGATCGTGGAGTCAACCCGCATGATGAGGACGGGCAACCTTCCCAAGGGTACGCTCGCATCCTTGCTCCTTCGGCCCATGCTTAGCGACTTTCGCTGGCCAAGCTCGCTCGAAAAACATTAACATGCCCCTCCGAGGCCCTTGCATCCTTACCGCGCATCCTTATGATACGGGTTGACTGTAGATCAGAGGGTGAAACGGTACCCATGCCGCCACCCTTGCTTTGTTTCTGCCTCTTTGGGCCTCCTGCTGAGAGTCCCTCGTCGCCACCGCTGGATTCGCCTGAGGTCCAGGGAGTGGCGGTGTCGGGACTTGTTGGCTTCCCCAGCAGCGCAAGGCGCTAAGATCACCAGCTGAATGCTCGAGCTCGGAGCCTCTTGGATCCTCAGAAGCCCCATATTCTGCCATCTTCCGATCCCTGCGCCCACCTTGTCCACTCGTGCGATCGTCTCTCCGACTCCTGTTCCTACCTCCATGGCTCCCGCTGGTTCTCTTTCTTCCGACGCCTGCGCCCACCTTTCCGATTCTTGCTACAGGCAACCCCCATCGTAAGGATTGGCCGCTTTCCCAAGTGTACCCGTGCATGCTTGCCCCTTCGGCGCATACTCAGCGACTTTCGCTGGCCAACTTCGTTGGAAAAACGTTCACATGGGACTAAAGCTTCGGGATGGGCTTCCAAGGCCCTTGCATCCTTACCTCGCATCCTTCTGATACGGGTTGACTCTATCGTCTCTCCGCCTTCGGCTCCGACTCCTGCCCGCAGCAGTTCTTCGCTGAGGGCCCGGGGCCCCCCCCCTTTCGCTGCCCTCGGTAAGGCCGGCCCTGACTGACCGCCATCGCGGGCTCGCCTCACCCCGCCTCCCTGGGATAAGGACGCATTGCAGGAGCGTTGAACTCGCTGGAGGGGCCCGCGGGTGTCTAGGGTCGAGGCTGGGCCCCAACCCTGGTGGCGCAGTCGGCGCCACGGTGTGCGGCCCCAGCGCTGGTCCAAGATCTCCGAGCGGACCATCGATGCTTGTTTCTACTAAATGATGATGTTGTGGTGGTTGTTGTTGCTATTGTTACTCTTGCTGTTGTTGCACTCTCACTACTGAAGAATAATTATTATTTGATTACCCCCTCCGGTGACAATTGTGTTTTTTCAATTGAAGTGCTTCCCCTGGGGCTCGCACCCTGCTTTTGATCGGGGAAAGTCACGGGGCTCAAACTGTGCCCCTGGCCGCCGGTTTCCAACAACAACGGCTCCCGCCTGCTACCTCTTTACAATTCATTCCAAGTCGCGCTCTCGCGTGGGAATTCCTCACAATTCATGTGCGTTCATGTACGCATCGCGCTCCCGCGTGGGACTCCCTCTCAATTTATTCAGACGATGCGCTCTGGGCGCTCAGGAACCACGCTCTCGCGCTTTGGCTTTTCTCAATTTACCTGGGAATCGCGATATCACTCAAGACGTCCTCGCGATTCATGCAGGACCCACGCTTCAGCAACCCGCCTGCTCGACCTCGTCGCCCGGGCCCACCTTCCCGAAATGCCCGCTATGGGTCTGCCCTCCCGATCTGCCCGCCTGGTTCTACCACTTGTTTTCTGTTCCTTGCATCCCTCATGCTAATTTCTCTCGTGCTCCATTCTTCTGCCTCCCCCTTCCACCCATCCTCTCTTCTCTTGTTTTAGGGGCTGCACTAAATGCACGTGGCAGGTAAGAAAGATATACCCCAAATGGGGTACGATCGAAGACGAGGGCGGGTACCGAGGGTTTGGGATATACGTATTGTTTGGAACGTGAACAGATAGGAGCGAGCAGTTTTAATATGATGATTGATGATGTTTATGCTGTTGATGGTGTTTCTGTTGCCGTTGCTGCTGTAGGCTCTGTTGCTGTTGCTGCTGTTGCTGGTGTTGATGTAACTACGGTTGGTGTTGTTGCTATTATTGTTGCTGTTGCGGTTGCTTTTGTTGTGGCTGTTTATGTTGTTGTTGTTGGTATTGCTGTTGGTGTTGGTGTTGGTGTTGTTGTTGATGCTGTTGTTGCGGTTGTTTATTGTGGCTGTTGTTGTGGTTGTTGTTGTGGCTGTTGGTGTGGTTGTTGTTGTAAGTGTTGTTGTTGCGGTAGTTGTTCTTTTTTGAGCTTCTAACTGTTGAATCATACTCAGGGTTAGTCCCCCCTCTCTGGTAACCATTGTATTTCTTAAGTGGAAGGGCCCGTCCTGGGGTTCGAACCCTGTTTCCATCATGGAAAGTCGTTCGACTCACATTCGACCCCTTGCTTCCGATCTACAGCAACAACGGCTCCCGCTTGATACTCCCTCACCGTTTATTTCCCCCCCGCTCCCGCTCAAGACTTCCTCCCAATTTACTCAAGAATCGCGCCGCGCTCGTGCCATTCCAGATTTGTGCCCTCGCCTGGGACCTCAGTATAGGTTGCTTGGGTATCGCTCTCCCGCTCGAGACTCCCTGGCGAATCAATTGTGCAGGACTCACGTACTCGCGATCCGCCCGCTCGACCCGCTCGTCAGGATCCGCCCGCCCGACCCGCCCGGGCCCGCAGTCGCCCCTCGCTGCTTTTTCCGCCCGCTCCGTCTCGTCGGGCAGGTCTCTCTACAGCAGGAATGTTCAAACTTAGTCAGGGTACGACTTCTTTCTTTTTTTTTCCTATGTGACCATGTCCAACTTTCCTCACGAGCTCCGCCTGCAGGAGGGCACCGCGCGACCCAACCGTTCCGCTGCTCCTCGCTGCCGGCCGCGATACCGCAGCTGGATTTTTGGAGGCGCCGCCGCTGCCCTCGTGGCCTCTCCTCCGCGGCTATCGTGGCCCGCCAGCCATTTGAGCCCCTCGATGCCGCTCGTGGCACCGTGGGCGCAACCGCAATCGCAGCCGGGCGGCGCATTTCAACCCGCCCGCGGGCGCAACAGCAATTGCCACAAGGCGACACAGGTCAACCCGCCCGCTATCGCAACCGCAATCGCAATCAGGCAACACATTTCAACCCGCCCGCGGGCGCAACTGCAATCGCAACCAGGCGACACATTTCAACCCGCCCGCGGGCGCAACCGCAACCGCAGTCGCAACCATGCGACACATTTCAGCCCGCCCGTGGGCGCATCCGCATTCGCAATCAGGCGACACATTTCAACCCGCCCGCGGACGCAACCGCATCGGCAACCGCAACCAGGCGACACATTTCAACCCGCCCGCGGGCGCAACCGCAACCGCAGTCGGAACCAGGCGACACATTTCAGCCCGCCCGTGGGAGCAACCGAATTCGCAATCCGGCGACACATTTCAACCCGCCCGCGGGCGCAACAGCAGCCGCAAACGCAACCAGGCGACACAGTTCAACCCCTCTGCTGGCGCAATCGTTTGAGGAGAAGGAGGTGCAGGAGCACGAGTAAGAGGAGGAAGAGGAAGAGAAGGGAGGGAGCGGGATGAGGATGATGGGCAGAACGGCCACGAGCAGTAGGAGGACGACGATGATGAGGGAGATGCAGGGGTGGTCGTGTTTCAGGGGGTTGCAGGAGCAGGTGTTGGTGGGGGAGGAACCCAATGGCACGATACGAAGACTCAGGGTCTGGAGGATGAGAAGGAGGAGAACGAGGAGGAGGAGGAGGACGCGTTGCCCGCGGTTCTCCGCCGGGACATTGCAGCGTGGAGTCTCCATTCCACGCTGTTGCCCCTGATTGATGTTGTTGTTGTTGATGTTGTTGTTGTTGTTGCTGTTGTTCCCCACATGTTTCGTGGGGTTCTGGTTTTCTTCCCTGCCGCGGCGCACCCGCGTCTCCTCCCCTCCCCTCCTCCTCTTCATTCCTCTCCCCAACCCGCGGCCAACACATGCACGGCAAGTATATGAGACACGCGTCTACATACAGCCGCAAGCATGCACACACTCGCACACACAAGACGCATGTTCACTGCATCATACACCCAAGACGTCTGCACAATCCGTGAGGGTCGTCCAGGGCACAGCAGGCATGGCATATTCTCGACACCATAAGGGGGGCGCAGGGGGTGGTTTCTCACCGCGGCCGCTATCCGTGACGGTCGTCCAGGGCACAGCAGGCATGGCATATTCTCGACACCATAGGGGGTGCGCAGGGGGGTGGTCTCTCACCGCGGCCGCTATCCGTGACGGTCGTCCAGGGCACAGCAGGCATGGCATATTCTCGACACCATAGGGGGTGCGCAGGGGGTGGTCTCTCACCGCGGCCGCTATCCGTGACGGTCGTCCAGGGCACAGCAGGCATGGCATATCTCCATAGGGGGTGCGCAGGGGGTGGTCTCTCACGGTGACGGTCGTCCAGGGCACAGCAGGCAGGCGCAGGGGGTGGTCTCTCACCGCGGCCGCTATCCGTTCGTCCAGGGCACAGCAGCATGGCATATCTATAGGGGGTGCGCAGGGGGTGGTCTCTCACCGCGGCCGCTATCCGTGACGGTCGTCCAGGGCACAGCAGGCATGGCATATTCTCGACACCATAGGGGGTGCGCAGGGGGTGGTCTCTCACCGCGGCCGCTATCCGTGACGGTCGTCCAGGGCACAGCAGGCATGGCATATTCTCGACACCAGAGGGACAGCAGGAATGGCATACTCTCGACACCATAGGGGGTGCGCAGGGGGTGGTCTCTCACCGCGGCCGCTATCCGTGACGGTCGTCCAGGCACAGCAGGCATGGCATATTCTCGACACCATAGGGTGTGCCCAGGGGGTGGTCTCTCACCGCGGCCGCTATCCGTGACGGTCGTCCAGGCACAGCAGGCATGGCATATTCTCGGCATAGGGGGTGCGCAGGGGGGGGTCTCTGGCGCTATCGTGACGGTCGTCCAGGCACAGCAGGCATGGCATATTCTCGACACCATGAGGGGGTGCGCAGGGGGTGGTCTCTCACCGCGGCCGCTATCCGTGACGGTCGTCCAGGGCACAGCAGGCATGGCATATTCTCGACACCATAGGGGGTGCGCAGGGGGTGGTCTCTCACCGCGGCCGCTATCCGTGACGGTCGTCCAGGGCACAGCAGGCATGGCATATTCTCGACACCATAGGGGTGCGCAGGGGGTGGTCTCTCACCGCGGCCGCTATCCGTGACGGTCGTCCAGGGCACAGCAGGCATGGCATATTCTCGACACCATAAGGGGGTGCGCAGGGGGTGGTCTCTCACCGCGGCCGCTATCCGTGACGGTCGTCCAGGGCACAGCAGGCATGGCATTTCTCGACACCAGGGGGTGCGCAGCCGCTATCCGTGACGGTCGTCCAGGGCACAGCAGGCATATTCTCGACACCATAGGGGGTGCGCAGGGGGTGGTCTCTCACCGCGGCCGCTACTCGTGACGGTCGTCCGGGCACAGCAGGCATGGCATATTCTCGACACCATAGGGGGTGCGCAGGGGGTGGTCTCTCACCGCGGCCGCTACTCGTGACGGTCGTCCAGGGCACAGCAGGCATGGCATATTCTCGACGCCGTAGGGGGTGCGCAGGGGGTGGTCTCTCACCGCGGCCGCTACTCGTGACGGTCGTCCAGGGCACAGCACGCATGGCATATTCTCGACACCAGAGGGGGTGCGCAGGGGGTGGTTTCTCACCGCGGCCGCTATCCGTGACGGTCGTCCAGGGCAGGGCACAGCGGTATCGGCGGGGCAATGGCCACCAACATTCTCACATGCTTCACTTCAGCTCCCATCACTCCAGCCGTAATATAAGTATGTGGGGTTCCTCGGTAGCGTAATTGCTGTTGTTGTTGATGTTGTTGTCGTTGTTGTTGAACTCTCATTTCTGAAGAATGATTAATGGTGATCTCCCCCGTCCGGTGCACATTTTTTTTTTTCGATTGAAGTGCCCTTCCCTGGGCTCGCACCCTGTTTTGTTACCAGGGACTTCCTTGCAATTTACCAGCGGATCGCGGCTCCCGCTTGATACTTCCTCATATTTTTTTTAAGAACTTATTGTTCACCTGTGTTGGAGGTGCCGGCGCAAGCCATGGCGCAAGCTGAATCGCCACTCACAGCGCAAATCATCGTCCTCCTCGTCCTTCTTGCCCCTCCTCCCTTCCTTCGATCCTTTCGTCCTCGTTCTTCCCCGTTATCTGTTACCCTTCGTTTTCAAGGGCTTCACCAACCACACGCGGCAGGGAATGAATATACAAGGGGGTACGATCGAAGACGAAGAGGGTGGGTATCCAGGGTTTGGGATTTGCATATTGAATGACGCGCGAGCAGATAATAATGAACAGTCTTAAAAGTGTTGTTGTCGTTATTGTTGTTTGTTGTTTGTTGTTAGTTGTTTGTTGTTTGTTGTTTGCTGTTTGCTATTTGCTGTTTGCTGTTTGCTGTTTGCTGTTTGCTGTTCGTTTGTTGTTGGTGTTGTTGGTGGTGTTGGTGTTGTTGTTGCTGTTTCTGTTGCTGTTGCTGTTGCTGTTGTTGTCGTTGTTGTTGTTCTCGGTTCCCCTCCCCTCACATCCGATCCGACCTCCCGATTCGGTACCGACTGTGTTCCTTGCCTCCGGCTCGTGGCCCGCGCCGCCAAGGAGTGCAGCCGGCGCTGTGCAGCGGAGACTTGTGCGGTCGGGAACCACGTCGACGCCGCCGCCGAGGCGTCCGCCGCGCTGGAGGAGCACCTGGCCGCCCGGCGCAGGGGCTTCACCAGGCAGCCCGGGCGCCCCAGGATAGCCCCAGAAGTATACGGGAAAGCCGCCCCCCCTCGGAGGCGGCCGAGAGCGGGGTGATGACGATGGGGGGGGATATCATGGTCAGGGGTCAGGGCCAGGAGGTCTGATGGCGATGGGGGATGGGGGGATCTCATGGCCAGGGCCATGAGGTCTCCGCAGATTTCTCGGCCCCCTCTTCTTCAACGACGTCTCCTCGCCCTTTCCCCTGGGCCGCGCACGTGCCACCGGCCATGGTTTGCGCCCCCCGGGTCCGCGCGCATGCTTCTGGCAGTCAGGGCCCTTCGCGTTACCCCCAGGACTGTATCCGAGCATTTTTTTTTGGGTGGAGGGCAAAGGGTGACGTCTGAAATGCCGTTTGGCTTGATTTTCGAGGCTTGAGTCCGCAAAAGGTGAATCACAAGACGGATTGTTCTTCGAAGTACAGAAGCCCATACGCATTGCACCCCGAGCCCTCCACCCTGAGAAAATGCGCAGGTATAGGGTTAAGTCGGGCCTGTCCCCCTACATGGGGATTTTCGACGAAAAATAATAAGAATCCCCCAAAATAGTCCAAACATCGTCTGGGTACTATGTTTTGAGTTTTTTTTGAGTATTTGTTGTTTGTCGTCGAAAATCCTCCTGTAGGGGGACAGGCCCGGCTTAACCCGAGCCCTCCACCCAAAGATAATGCGCAGGTATAGGGAGCCCCTCCCCCAGTCCTTCTCGCCAGGGGGAGGGGCGGCGCTCCGGGCGACGAGAGATGCACTCCTCGTCCGCCCTCGGCGTTGCGACTCTCCCAGGCTCGCTTCGTGTCATTTGAGGTCGCTGCTCACCAGCCTTGAACTTATCCCTACCCCTAAGATTGACACGCTAAAAGGAGATGACAATCTTAAGAATGCACCCTCAGAAACTGAGGAAATCCCTAAGATCGCCATCTTGATGAGGCGATGCCCAACATAGGGATAGGGATATGTTCCAGGCTGGTAAGCTGCCTGTGATTTTGTTCGCGCGATGTGGAGGCCTCCCGCGATCTGGGGCCACCCGAGACAATGGCACAGCTGTGAGAGGAGCCTTTGGATTCTCATGAGACCAGGGCGCTGTAAGCCCAGTGTTGACTCGGGCATGTCCCTCTACAGGAGGATTATCCAAAAATCGTCAGACATAGTCTGGAGACGATTGTTTGAATCTTCCTGAACATGTTTGATTCTGTTTCAACTGTTTTTCTTCTTAGTCCGACAGTCACCTGTAGGAGAAGATGCCCGACCGAAACCCAGTGTTTGGGCATTCCAGCTTGCAAGAGCAAAGCACGGATACTGTCGGGCACGCCACTGCCCCGGTCTATCACAGTTTCCTTCCCACCAGGCTTGGCGGCGCCCACAGGGGGCGGTCGCAGGCCTATGATAGGTTGACGCCAACACCAATATCGCCGGTGTGCCTCCACCGAGGGAAGAAGATCCCGATCTCGGCGATGATGGTAATATCCTGGCTTCCAAGGTGACCGAAGTATTACCACCAACACCGAAATCGAGGATCACCTTCCCCTTTGTGGAGGCAGCCCACTGTGTTGATGTCGGTGCTCAGCTCCAGGCCTCCCGAGGTGGCCCGAGGGGGGGGGGCCCTGTGCGCAGGCGGCGGGGCTGGAGGAGGAGGAGGAGGAGGAGGAGGAGGAGGAGGAGGAGGAGAAGGAGGACGAGGAGGAGGAGGAGGAGGAGGAGGAGATGGAGGAGGAGGAGGAGGAGGAGGAGGAGGAGGAGGAGGAGGAGGAGTCCCTGCGGTGGAAGCCCGTGCCAAGAGACGCCCCGCTTGCCTCCAGGGTGTCCCGGGTCTCCCGGGTTTCCTTCCGAACTCCGCCTGTAGGAGGACATTCCCGACCTGCATATTTGCGCCCCCCAAAAAAAATACTAGAATGCAGCATTTGGGGCTGCCATTTAACAAGTGGCTTAAACCGATCCGATCTTTTGCTTTATCGGGCCCGATCTGGCTTAATGACCCTTAGATCAGACTCCATAGCCCTTACTCGTGCCTGCGAAGACTTCCCAGCAGTTACCTCCGAAAATCGGCGTCATCCAAACATACATATACCAAGCGTGCGTCGCCTCCCCAGGGGCGACACGCGTTCAGGCATGTTATTGTGTTTGCTTGGTGGGGGGGCGCTTTCTGGCCATCCTGCCACGGTATTGATGTAGTACAAGTTGTGCGTGACCCTGGGTCAGAAGAAGCTCTCGTTTGGAAGCGCGAGATGGTTGGGGGCACTACTCCCGTATCAACTTCTGTAATCAAGAGATCGTTGGGAGCAAGTTAGTTTGGTCCCTACACCGATTATCTTGAAGTTGCTCTGCTTTCGGCCGCGTATCTTCCTGCCGGAAACATGTTGGGCGCACATGAATAGCACACATTTTCTGATGGATTTTGCTCCGCTTTGATTTTGTCGTCGCCCTTCTGGTATAGTTGATTTTGCTCCGATCACGTTTCAACTTCTTCTACCCACGCGTACTTCTACTCCGATTGCAAGATCCTCTGCTTTATTGTGCCCAGCCGCTGTACTATCCACTTTTGTTCGGTTCTGCTCCTGCTCCAGGTCCACCAGTTGGCGCTGGATGCAGCTGTTTGCCGCAAAGCCAAGCGGTTTCGGTCTTGCTGCTGTCTTTGATACGATGCCAGGTATCCGAATTCATGTACAGAACACAGTAGCGTTGCCTTGGGAAGAAGCACTGGCGGGCGCAGGCAGAGAAGGCGCCGTGCTACGCGCCCGCGTGAAGGAGGGCCCCCCGCCACTGTCACCCGCGCCCTAGTGAACACAGTCTTGGCCACATGTTTTTCGATGTTGTTGTCCACTTCTCGCGTCTCCATTCGTGATCATCCAGAAAAGGGTACCCACGTGAACTGTCGGGAGACGGGGCGTACGCCAACATACAGACAAACAGTTGGCCAACCATAGCAAACTTAGATACATGTTGGTGTTGCTCGGGCGTTTTCCGCGGCCATATTTGGGCTCCCTTGGCGCCCTTTTAGGGGGTTGTTGTGCTCCTCGTCTGGCGTTGCTCGGGCCCTTTTGAGAGCCGATCGTGCCATCCTGGGGCCATTTTGAAGGCCGCCGAAGGTATAACGAGCCAGTACCAATTGACGCTGCTCGTCTAGGGCCCGAAGTTCGGCATTTGGGATCGTTCCACAGACGTTATTCGGGCGGTCCTGGGCGCTCTTGAGGCAATATTGGACCTCTTCTGGCCACTGTCGGCGTTCTCTTGTGCAATACTGGCGCGTTCTGAGGCAAAACCATCTCACTCCCATGGCCTTGTAGGACCCCCGAGGGGCCAGTATATCAATGCAAATTCGGTCAAAATGGCCTATGTCTGGATTTTCTCTCGAGGCCAAGCGACAAGGAAGGTTGGCCGTTGAAGCCCCCGCTTCAGGGTGGGGTTTCTTGGGGCCCTTGGTCGGTGTGCGGTGACAAATGAGGCCCCCGCTGCGAGCGGTGTTGTGGCCCAGGTCCCAGACGCCGAGAGAGGCTTGCCGCGTCTCCGCTGGTCATGGCGCCAGCGAGTTCGAGTTCGGCTTGCGGGCTGAATTCGGCGCGGGCGCATCAGGCTGGAAAGCCCTCCATCGCCGCCAGCGCGCGTCAACTCGGGCATTCAAGGCGCGCCCGCGCGGTCAAGACGAATCTCGCGCCCGCGCCTGGGCGTTCAATGAGCTGAGGGCTGCGCACTCGGGTAGTCGAGGCGCGGAGAAACCGCGCTTTCGGGCAGTCGAGGGGCGCAGTCAAGCCGCGGAGCGGCCGCGCACTCAGGCAGTCAGCTCGAACGGGCGACGCGCCCCCGTAGTTGAGTCAAGAGGCGTAGTCAAGTCGCGCAATGAACTCGGTGATCCGCTGGTCTTTCTCGGGGATGGCCCGCCCTTTGCGCCGACCCCGAAGTCTCCTCCATGTGCGCCCTGCGCGCGCTCCAACTATATTTCCGCTGAAGTCGGCGCCGGTCACGTCTGCGCTCACTGGGTCACGCCCACGCAGAAGCCCGCGCCCAGTGTTTTCTTCGCCTGCTGATGTCTGCTCCCGCTGACGGGTTTGCACCCGTCATTGAGCCTGCGTCCACAGACGTCAGCGCCCACTGACACTTGCGGCAGCTGGTGTCTGCGCGCGCTGGCCCCTGCGCCCAATGATGCGTGCGCCGGCTGAAGCTGCGCCCGCCGACGTCTGCGCCCGCTGAAGCTCGTTCGCGCGGGGCCCGGTGCCAATCAGAACCTGCGCCCGTTGACGCGCGAGCCCAGCGAAGCCGCCGCCCGACGAGGCCTGCTCCCACCGGCCCACGAGGCGCGCACTCCAGCGCGCGCGCGTGCGAGGACGGGGCCCAAGCGGCGCGGGTTGCGCGGCCGGCGCGCAGGGCAGCCGCGTCGCCGCGCATTCGGGCGCGCCGTGTCGTTGCGTCGTTGCGCCGTGCTCGGGCGCGCCCGAGCTTTTGGTTCTGCCGCCAGCTCGTGTCCCCGATTGCGGGCCGCGCGTCGCATCGAGACTCGCGTCGGACTTGCTTTCTGGCGGCGTTTGTGGCGACGCGCCGTCAAGCATCGCCGCGGAGGTGAATGCGCCATCATCGCCGCCTGTGCCCCCAGCCCACAGCTGGCCCCCAGGCATGCACACACTGCTAGCTAGTTGTCGCATATGTTCGCTTCGGCGTGCGCCTCTGACGAGGGCGCTTACATTGAGAACGCGCATCAAGAGGGCACGTATTTTTCGTCGGGGTACCTTGTGCTTCTTCGCGTCGCGTTGTGCGCGGTGACTCCCAGCGGAGGTTTCAAGAAGCTGCTGCGCTCAAGATACTCCAGCTTTTCCCCCGAAGCGTACCTCGCGCGCGGATTTCTTTATAAATGACCTCCTTGATCGGTGGGCCTGTTATGAGGGTGTATTCGCGGAGCTCCAGGCCGTCGCCGTCTGGGATTTCTCACGAATCACCAACAACGTTTTGGAGGGCAGCGAGAGTCGTGGCGTCACCTGGGTGGGCGGCACTGCAGGAAACGGCCGGTGTTGCGAACGGACGAAACCCCTTCTTGCAACTATGGGTCGGCGTCGTGAGAGGGGGGAAGTGAAAGGATGAGGCCTTTTCAGAACGCGGCGGGGAGAAGCCTTCCGACCAGTGATTGGATTTCTGCGTCTTCAGGGAAATCCTAGAACCGAGAAAACGTATCAGAAGGCTGGGGGGTGTCCGAGCCTTCTGAGAAACCCCGTTTCACTCCTCCCCTGGGATCGCCGCCTAATACAACCCAGGCAGTTCGCGGACCTCCAGGCCGGCTTCCAGCGCGCGCGGGACGTGGCGCTGGACGCCCGCGCGCGCGCGGCGGAGCTCGGCCACGCGCGGAAGGGGGCGGGCGGAGAGGGGGAAGGCTTCTCACGAGGCTGCTTCTCAGAATGCGGGCGGCTTCATCCATCGATGTAGGACCGGCGCGCCTCGAAACAGTCAGCCTCCTCGAGGAGCCTCCCCCCGTTCCCCCATTCTCTTGCGCGCGCCGCTATCAGGAGCAGCGGCAGGGCGCCGCGGAGGTGCACCGGGCCCTGGACGACGTCGCCGGGCGAGCGAGCGCCGAGCTGCAGGCGCTGGTGGGGCGCACCGCCGAGGTCTCGGGGGACAAGCCATGGCCGTACAGGCTCCAGCGGTGGCGAGGCGTCGTGGCGTGCCGATGGGCCCACAGGGAAAGCTCACTGGGGGGAGCCGGGTCCCGAGAGGGCAACGGGTCCTGAGGCTTTTTCGCCGCTTTGGGTTTCCTGGGGCCCTCCACGGGCCCCGGGACTGTCCGACAGCGATTCGGGATGAAAATTTGGTCCTGGGGGGAGGCCCCAGGGTCCAGGACCCGTTTCTCTCAGGACATTTGTTCCCCCATGCTAAGAATTGTTTAGCATTTGTTCGCGGTTTGCACGGGTTTTCCCGCTTAGGTTTGCTTAAGGGGTGTTTGCATAGGGAAAGGTTGGTGCCTCCTATTGTTTGTTGCCCGTTGTTCGGAGGGTCCTCGGGTTCCTTGGGTTCCTTGCCCCCGGTGCCCGTATTGTTACGTTGCTCGTCTCCCGGAGGTTCTTCGGGTTCCTTAGGTTCCCCGCCCCAGGTGTCTCCTATTGTTACGTTGCCCGCTCCTCGGTGGTTTCCCAGGTTCCGCGGGTTCTCTGCCCCCGGTGCTTCGTGTTCTTAGAAATGCCAACCAATGCTAAGCAATCCCAAGCAATGCCAAGCAGTGCCAACCAATGCCAAGCAATGCGAAGCAATGCCATGCACTGACCCCATGCAATGGGACGCTTTCCCCTCACTGGGGTCGCGCCCTGTTCAATTCAAGCGGCTCTATGTTGTAAGAGCACTGTCTCTGTTTGATGTACGCGGTTTTATGTTATAAGAGCATTGCTTCTGTCAGCAGACATATCCGTTCTGTTCCAATAACATGTCGTCGCTGGCCTATACGAATGCCAGGACGGTCGGCTCCTGTTCAGCAGTCGAGTGCGATTCGACCTTGTCGAGTAAAGGGTGCCTTTGTGCCCCGTGTTTCGAGACCCATGCTCTCAACCTTCCTGGGGCAGTGTGGCCTTAAGAAGGGTCGGGTCCCCTCGCGTGTCCTCTCCAATCGGACTGGACTGTAGACGTAGACTTCGGGAGTTTTGCGCGGCTTTCTTGGATCGGCGGTGGAGCCCCCCTGGCGGCGCCTCCAGCGCAGGCGAGGTGGGGAAATGAGAAGGAGAAGGCCTTCTCAGAAGGCTCGGAAGCCCCCCACCCTTTGGGACGCTTTCATAAGCCTTCCTCGAAGACACGGTCAATTTCTCAGCCCTGCCGCCTTCTGACAAGACCTTCTCCTTCTCACCTCCCCCTCTCGCTCACCGCCGATATGAAGATCCAGCCTCGATCCAAGACATGCGCTCGGACCTCCGAAAGCGTGTGCTCATGTCACTGCTTTCTTTCTCGAAGGTCGCGGGTGCACGGCCCCCCGGGCCTCTCGGGTGAGCCCCCGGCGCTGCTGGACCCGTCGGTCGAGTCGGGGGAGGCGGCTCAGAGGAGGAAAAGGTACCCACACCGCTACCCTTCCCTCGCTTCCCTCTTTCTGGGCCTCCTGGGAGGCCCTCGTCGCCACCGGTGGAGTCGCCTCGAAATGTTGGTCAGAACGTACCCGGGAGAGGTCCGGGGAGTAGCGGTATCCTTACCTTTTGGTCCCCCCAGGAGCGATATTCATACCGCCCCGGGTCAAAAAAAATCATACCGCCCCATGAGAGCCCTCGTCGCCACGGCCAGATTCTCCTCGGAATTCTGGTCAGACTGCACCCCAGCAGGGGTCGGGGGAGCAGCGGTGTTGGGACGTTTTTGGCCTCCCCAGTCGGGCACAAGGGCGGGACACCAGTCGAGGACTCGCAGGTGGGTCCTCGGCCTCAATCCCCCAGACCCCCCTCAGCAAATCTCGAAGGCGATTTCTCGCCCCTCATCCGAAAGATTCACCCCCAAAAGACAGAACCGGCAGTGCAGACAAGAAGGGACAGCGCGGGGGTACATCCCAAGCGGGCCACTCGAAAACACCCCTACTGCGGATGGTTGCTACCCGATGTTTCATTCTCGAGTTGGGCCCCAAGGTACCGGGTCAGCTGGAAGTCCCACGAAGGCGGGTATTGTGGTCGCCATACCTTCTCCTATTGCGGTCAAAAGTGGGTGGCAGAACACTAGCCCCTATCCGTTACAATCACGCAGGCCGGCCATTTTTTTCAGGCGAATGTGTTTTCAGGGATGTTTCCAGAGTTGAATGATCACTCTCCGGGGTTCACTCGTCCACTCCGATCCTCTTCATCGATTCCGGCTAGCCCGATGCGATTCGACTGTGACATTCCGAATTTCTTGTACGGCCTGATGCTCGCATAGCGAAGGAGAATCCTTTCGCGGCCGATCCGAGTCGACGTCGATTACTACGTTCGGAGGCATCGCGATCCGACGCACGTTCCGAGTCGTTCCGATTGCCCGACTCGCCGCCGTGTTGGTAGAGTTCCCACCGCCCGTGCCTGCCCGCAGGCCTCAGCCAGAGCTAAGAAGGACGGAACTCCGAGCTGGGCAGGTTCTCTCTAACGTGTACTCTCTGCCAGAGAGCTGGCTAACGTGTACTCTCTGCCAGAGCGACGCAACAAGAAAGGGGGTCGTCTGCGCCGTCATCGGTGCGTAAGCTGCCCGCGTGAGGTTGCGCGTAAGCGCCCTCGTCTCCAGCGCAGCGTGCCGCGCTGGCGGTCCGCGTACGCCGCCGCGTATGGTCGCTACGTCATCTCGCATAAGACCCTTGTATTTCCGTCGCCCACATGAGGCGGTCAGCCTCGCTGAGTTCGTGAGACACAATGTTCGAAATTGCATTCACATGCACTTTCGGAGGCCCTCGACGATTCTTGGATCGGGCCACATGTGAGAATCGGGCCACGTGTGCTTCCAGCTTCCTGGGGTAGCTCTGGAGCCGGCGGTGGTACATACAGTGGGGGCCCACGCCAAGAAGCACCTTGCTCGCCTCCAGGGTGCCCTCGGTTCCTTGGGTGCCGATGGTGTTGCTATGGAGCGCGTGGCGCTCCCGCACCAGAAGTCAAGGGTTCGTCCTGGGGTCTCGGGGTTGGGTTTCTCGTGGAAGGCTTCTTGTGCTCGAGCCCCTACGGTGACGATATTTTTAGCCTCCGTGGAGGAGGAGGAGGAGGAGGAGGAGGAGGAGGCGGAGGCGGAGGAGGCGGAGGAGGCGGAGGAGGAGGAGGAGGAGGAGGAGGAGGAGGAGGAGGAGGAGGAGGAGGAGGAGGAGGATGAGGAGGGAGGAGGGAGGAGGAGGAGGAGGAGGAGGAGGAGGCCCCTCGGGGGCCGACCGCTGCCTCCCGGCGAGGCCCCCGGCGGCCTGCCGCCCCTCCGGAGGTAGAGACGTTCCGCGGACCTCCGGCCCGCCGCGCCGCTCTCCCGCGAATTCGGGGCGGACGGGGGGCACCAACTATACACCAACACCGACCCTGGCCCAGAATCACCCTGAGCCCAGGATCGGTGTATATGCCTTCCTGCGCAAGGCAGGAGGGCGTATACACCGATCCTGGGCCCAGGGTGATCCTGGCCAGGATCGGTGTTGGTGTATAGTTGGTGCCTTCCTAACGGGGGGCGCCGTGGGCGCGGCGCCCCCCGCGCGCGCCCGCCCTGCGCGGGGGGGAGGGGGGTGGCGGCAGCGCGCGAGCGCGGGGGCGGCCGCCACCTTCCCCCCCCCCCCCCGAGCTGCCCCTCCGGCCCTGCGCGCGTGGCTCGGGGGAGGAAAAAGCGGCGCCCCGCGCGCGCCCGCGGGGGCCGGCCCGGCGGCGCGCCCATCATACGGAGGGAGGGCACCCCTGGGAGGGCGGGCCCGCCCGGGGAGGGCCCCGGAGGCCCGGGGCCCCCTGCGCATCTCGGCTCGGGCGAAAGGGGGGGGGGGGGGGAAAGGGGGGGGTACGACACCTGCTGCATGTAGCTGGTTTCGGCCCCACCGAGGGGCCCGTTCCTCGATGCATAGCCGCCTCCAGCGCCGGGAGGCGCCGGGAAAATCAGCTACGTGAGCTGATTCTCCCCCCCCCCCTTTGCTATCCCCCCCTCTCGCCCGGCCCGAGCATCGCAGACGAGAAAACCCCAGAAAGGCATACACGCCGGTCGTTGGAAGCAGGTATCGTTGGCTTCCCAGATTCTAGTCTACTTCAAGCGCCTCCCCACTTCCGGAATCGACCTGCTCTTTCTGTGTCTTGTTATTCTCCGGGAGGACTTGCACCCAATCTACTATATCCGCCTTCCTACTTCATGTTTCTACCTATTTCTTCCGACCGACGTGTAATGAGCTTTCGGCGCCCTGCGCGGACTTCTTGGAGCCGCGCTGGGCCCCCCCCCTCCCGGCGGCGCCTCCGGCGCAGCCCCCCGGCGCGCTCCGCGCGCCCAGGGCAGCTCCAAGAAATCCGCGCGAAGCCCTTGAAGCTCATGTTTATGTTTTTTTATCAACTTGTGGAGAAGCTCTCTGAGCCTTCTCCGAAGACACCGCGGGTCTCGCAGAAAGGCCAGAGGGCTTCTGAGAGGGCATCTGCCCCCTCTCAGAGGGTATCTGCCCCCGCTCACACTCCCCCCCTCGGCGCTCCGTCTCCAGGAGGGGCAGTCGAGCAGGATCAGGAGGAGGAGCAGCCTTCCAAAGATGCCCCCAGCTCGCGTCCTTGCCTCTAGGCCCATCCCAGCCCTTGGCCATGGGGGCCGCGGACTTTTAACTTACCATGGGGGCGCATGGTAAGGATGAGCGACTTTCCAGAGTTCCCCTTGCATCATACCTCCTTCGGACCATCCTTGGTCATTTTCGCTGACGGCGCCCCGCTCGGAAGGCGTCGACGTGGCCTTCCAAGGCCCTCGCATACTTATCGTGCATCCTTATTGTGCGCATTGACTGCAATCGAGAGCCATCCCGATGCTGCTTCTATATCGCCCCAGAGTTTGAGCTGAGCGCCGTCGGCATGGTCAGGCTGGGCCATCTGGATGGCAAGGGGGAGGCGGTGGGGTCAAAGGGATCTCAGCGCGAGCTCCTCTCACCGTCCTCGTAGTGCTCGCAGGGCCCATTCAGATCCCATCGAGTCGATCCGAATGCGGTCTCGGCTGCACCGATCCGATCCGATTCCAGTCTCTCCGACGATCCGCTGTGGCCCGCTGCCTGCATGGCGCTGTCGTGCATCCTGGCGCAGCCGGTGAGGGTTCGATCTCCGCTCAGTGGCGATGCAGCCAGGTCCGACGTAGCCTCCGAGTCTACCCTCGTGCCCGACTCGACGCCGGCGGATCCTCGGGCGGGCCCAGGACCAGGATGCTAAGTCGCTCCACAGCCCTGCGGCACGCACTGAAAGTGTCCCAGAACGCTCTGTCGAGGAGAAGGAGGAGGAGGAGGAGGAGGAGGAGGAGGAGGAGGAGGAGGAGGGAGCGGCCTCGGCGCCCGACACATCCGCCGGGACCGCCAGATCTCAGAGATCCCCGAGCTGTCCCGGTCCGACTCTGTCCCGTGCTTCTGCCTCGTGCTGGATTCCGCTTCGGTCTGGCTGCTCGATGCGATGCGGACTTGTCCTGCCTTTTCGACGACGTCTCGCAGGCGATCTTTCTTCCCCGAATTCTCGAGTTCCGCCCGAAGAGTTCTGCCGATCAGAAAGGGGGGGAACTCTGGGATACACGCCCAGGTGGTTGTTCGGACGCATCCCTATCGAGGACGGACGCCCCCCATCGTATATCCCAGGGTGGGGCCAACAAAATTTGGTCCAGTTGGAAACCCTCCTCAGTCGGCGATTGGACTCGTCGTATCCTCCATTGAACGTTGTCGTTTTCGGTAGCAAATCCTGGGAGCCTGGTGTGCCCTCTTGCTTCCGCCTTTTGCGTCGGGTTGCGCCGATGAGCGTCTGTGAGTCGATGAGATAGCGCCGACTAGGCCTCGGGGCTGGCGCCAAGTCGCGTCGAATTTGCGTCGATCTGGCGTCCACTTCGCGTCGATCAGCGTCGATTCGCCGACAAGATGGTATGGTTAAGGAGGAGGAGGCTGGCCCCCCATGGCGCAGTGCCAAGGGTAACCGGGCAACTGTGGTTACACCCCCTCCTCCTCCTCCTCCTCCTCCTCCTCCTCCTCCTCCTCCTCCTCCTCCTCCTCCTCCTCCTCCTCCTCCTCCTCCTCCCTCTACAGGGGGGAATATGTGAGGAGTGCGGACCTCCGACAGGCCGGGCTTCCCCGGGTGTTCTTCTTCACCTCAGGTGCGCCTGTTCGGGGAAGCGGGCGTCGCTCGGATGTTGTCCGTTTACGTAGGCAGTCGCGCCTCTCCGTGTGCCAAATATGCCGTGCCCCGCTCGCTTCTCAGATCGTACATCGTGCAAGTTCCCGCTCGTCTTGGGTTGGATGGATATCGTCGCATGCCTCCCAAAAGCACTCAATACCGCCCAATAGCGCCCAGCAGCGCCGAAGCATTCAAGCAACGCCCAATAGCGGCCAACAGCGTAAACTAGCGGCACGCGGGAGAGTTGCATTCTGTCCGCTTTGCGCGCGATTGGGCACGCTATTGGGCGCCATGGGGACGACCGAACGTTTCTGTGAGTTGATATCTCACACTACGCCCTCTTGACGGACGCCTTCGCACACACGAGCTCGTGGTGGGGCGTGCTGCTCCCCCGGTTGACTTTCGACGGCGACGCCAGACGTCCCACGACAACGACGACCGACGCCGTCCGACGACCGCGTCCGCCGACGACTAGGACGACGACGACGTCCGATGCGCGTCGGAGCTCTTGCAGGCCGCAAGCCGCGCTTGTCCTGTGTCTCTGCCCGCGGTTCTGCCGTTGCCCAGGCATTACTTCGGCGACCAATTGATCAAGAGCTACGACTTTACGCTGCCCTTCGTTATCCCGAACACCCGCAACACGTGGGCAGCTGCTGTCTGTTGCGCACGTGCCGCTCTGTTGCATGCCGTCCGTGTAGGGAGTCATTCGTATTTCTCAGATCGTAAGGCACCGAAAGGAGACTAGGAAGAGGATACTGATGAGGATGATGTGGAACTTTTGTCTCGGGAGGCGGCGGGGCTTCTCAGAAGCCCTCGCGCCCCCCGAGGAGTTCTTCGTCGCGTCTGCGGGGGAGGCTCGGGAGACTCCTCCGGAGGGGCCGGGGGACTTCCGAGCTTTCCCGAGAAGGCCTTCTGCTTCTCATTTCCCACCCCTCGCTCGCCTCCCAGGCGAGCAGACGGGGGCTCACGAGCCTGAGGGCCACAGGGCAGGCGGGCCCCCTCAGGGGGGGCCCGCCTGCGCTCGCGCCCTCGCGCATCCCGGCGGGCACCCGCGTGGGGGCCGTGCGCCTGGACCATCACAGCCCTTGGGCCTCTCGGCTGGGGGGGGGCTCTGCCTGGGCAGGGCTCGTTTCGATTCCTCCGATTCGATTCGATTCGACTTCGATGGATTCCGATTCCGATTCGATTCGATTTGGGCTTCCGATTTGGATTCCGATTTCGTATTGGAGGCATGCTAGCCTGCCGATTTCCGCCGATTCGACTTTTCCCGATTCGGCTGCCGATTTTCGCCGATCCGATTCATGTCGATTGCCGATCCGATTTATCGATTCGATTCTGGGTTCTCCTGCCTGGGGGTTGCGATGCAGCGCAGATGGCCAGGCTGCCGGGTCGGGTCGGCGGGAGGGGAGGACTGTCGGACCGGGGTATAAGATCGATGTCGATTCGGGGGGGGGGGGGCCCTCATGTTCTTCGTGCGTGTTGGGTGTTCTCGTGCATCCTGGGGGAGGGTGCCCTCGAGGGATCTCTATGGTTGGTGTGGTTTGGTCGGTGGAGGGTCTTATGTGCTTGAATGAAGTCATTCTGTCGGTCCGACCGTACTTCGGGTCGCCCCACGCCGCGAGCCCGTCTGTCCTGCCCGTCGCGCCTGGACGTCTGTGCCCTTCGCCGGCGCGGCGCTGCACCGTTGAAAAATAACAGGAGAGAAGGGGGGAGATGAGGAGGACGAGGAGGAGAAGTATGGATGAGCTCGAGAAGAGGGTACGGACGGGAAAGAGACGGGACACGTTCCGATTCAATTTCTGGTGACCCCCCGGGTGAGTAGAGGGGGAGGAGGAGGCATTGTTATATATACATCTATGTATATATATATATATATATGTATATACATGTTGTGGAAATTTTGCTCTAACCAGGGTGGGCCCAGGGGATCTGCCAGGAGGTTTTGGCCAGGTTATCGGGAGTTGACTGGATGGGGGATAGCCGGGCTTATCGTTGCATGGGAGGTTTGCACGATCGCGAAGTGTATACGATGTTTCCCCATTTGAAGCGATAGTGCCGAATCTTTGTCCTCATTCTCCGCGAAGTCTCAGGCAATGTTATCTTCCTATGTGTCCTCCTCCATCGTTTTTTTTGTTTTTTGACGGTATCTGTTTTATTGGTCCATCTCATCATCTTCAAGCGTCTACTTCTTTATCGTCCTTCTTGTCCTCTTTTCTCCCTCACTCTCTGTGCGTCCGTGGGGGTACGGTGCTAGGGCGTTGCAGTTTCGGGCTCGCGCGTTGCGCTGTTCTATCGATGACGCCCTAGGTGTTGTGCCACAGTTTTGCGCACGGGCTTCACAAGTTGCGCAATGCATCGGATGTCCAGTTGCGGGCATCACGTCCTATCTGAACCGCGCTGGCGTCAAGCTGGCCAGCCTCCAGCCTCTGAGGCCCGAGTCTCCACGCAGCGGCGGAGGCGCAGCTGCCTTCCTGTGGGTCCGTTCCCCATCGCCCTCTCCCCCCTTTCC